GATTTGTAGGCATATGTAGATCATTTATAATTTGAATTTAATTTACATTTAACCTAGCCTAGTTCTACTAGTTTGTTTATTTATTCATTTTAATAATGACCATCTGTGACAATAGAACTACAAATATCTGGACAAGGAAAATAAAAAAATGTAAATTGCTTCAAATTATGAAGTCAAACGAACGGAAAACATTACTAGGTAAGTCGTTATGTTAAATCTACAGAAAACTAAAGAAAACGTTATTATTCTTTCAAGCACTTGATACTTATCTATGAATAAATAAACATGTTTTTTCCCATTGGCGAAATAAAATAAAAATAATGATAATAATAACAATAATAAAAACCAGCAATTTATTATAAAAAAAAAAAAACGAAATAAATTAAATTATTTTTGTAAATTATAATCTAGGCCTTGACAACGTATAAAGTTTTTGATGAATTCGAATAACTTTTTTTTGATTGGTTATTATTTATTCAATTTTTATTACGGTATAGGTTGACTTTATAGTGTATTTTTATAATTTTTAGTAGGTATGATTGATTTAAATTATTTATATTTTAGTATTAAAATAAAAAAAAACATTTAAAACATAATTTAGGTAGGTAGTTTATAAGCAGTTTATTGATAAAATATTAAAATAAATTGAATTTCTATGCAGAATATTTAACTAATGATTTTATTAGAATTATACTTAAGAGGATTTATCCATAATATTCAAAGAGACATCTATAGAATTAAAAAATATGCAAAACTATAATATTGTTAAAATAATATTACTCGTGTATTGTTTTTGTTAACCTATCTAACCTTGCCACGTTACACTTTAGGTATACCTATAATGATGAATGGACGAATGGTAACTCCGTAACTGTAATTATTCATATCACTGTAGTCGTGCAACTTATCACCTTTGGTAAATTGTAAATAAACGTTCTTGACTCCTTTTCCATATTCAAACATTATTTACATTTCAACATAGTTTTATTATTTCTAAATATACTTACTTAGTTGGTAATTTATATTTTGAATCTTCAAACAAAATACATAGTTTCGTTCCAATAAAATCTAAAAATAAAAAATAAAAAAATATAACAGGGGAAATGTTTTCATTAACATTCTAAACTAAAAATGTTTCCTCTCTAAGAACTCAGTCACTCGAAGAATACATTATTTTAAATCATAAAAAACCTAACTCATACCAAATTGTATTAGATACATATTTATCGTACAGGATAATTTTTAACAAAAATAACACTCATCATTATTTTAAAAATCAGTAAGTACTTATAGCGCATTTGAAAATGTTTTAACATCATTAATTAGTCATTACAAACTAAATTGCTTGTAAAAAAAAAATTATATTTCTTACCTATACAACATAATTACTATCATCATTATCTTTAAATGTTTAACTTAAAATTCAATTAATCATAAATTGCAGTATACCAGATACCTACTATTCTAAATCTTTTAAGTCTTTAATTTTATATTCCTATACATAATGAATAATATTGTATAAAACAATAGTATTCTGAGAATTTCAAACGTAAAATTTAAATTTTGAATGTAGTTAGATATATGTATTTGAGCGTTTTAAATTGATGAATGAAGTTGTAAGATGCGAGTTGTAATTGAGAGTGTAACCTGCAAGTACCGAGCAAAATTTTAGTCTCATAGAAATTGCAGTCAGAACAGTTTTTTTCCTTTATATTTATAATAGTTTTAAAAATCTAAAAATTCCTTGCAATATTAGTTAATATCTATGAATATTTGATTTAATAACGGTAGGTACTATAGATACTGTTAGTATAAGACATGTACAAGTCATGCTAATAAATATTACAGTTTTGTATACATTCCACATGCAATATTGAATGTTTTACGTTCATATGTTTATAAATTTAATTTGTTTTTTATTTTCATTAGTACCTCGACTTACGTGCATTTATATATCTACCTACTCGTAATTTTTATACACGCAATTAATAGTTTACCGATACGGCGATACCAGTCACTGCCGCGGCTCATTTTGAATCATAAATCGTTTATCAGAATATAATATAACAGTAAAACACTTTCCTTTTAAAATACCAAAATATTATTGATACGCTTTAGCTACTGCATCGATCGAAAACAGTAACATAATATTATAGTGTCATATTATGGTGTGTCATACGCGTTTCATAATAAACATAATGATATTGTTGTAGTTACAAATAATAAACACCCGGGMCATTTGGAAAGTACATTCGTCTAATCGTCTCACAATCCACTAGTTATAGAAGAATACTGAAGTGACTAGTCAGAGATATACATACGTACAAGCATAATACCTGTATAATGTAATATGTATACAATTTAATAATTAATAACTATAAAATCGACATTTTAATTGTTATTATATAGATAAACGCGCCAAATTAATGAATTATTCGGGTTCGGCTAGCAATAAAAAAGAGGCGAAATCAGTATGTTAGAGATACTCACGTCTTGTACAACTTATATTGCCCTAAATATCAATAATATCATTGCGGATATGATATATAGGTAGGTAGACAATTACTTATTACATAATCAACTACTGTTATTGGTGTGAATGGATTCTCAACAGCCCCTATTTTTCACAAAAATTCGTACTGCACATCTTTTAATGTACCGTGAAATAATACAGAACCGTGGGTGGCTAAAATAATATTATTTTTAAAAATGTGTAAAATGTATTCTGTACTACCTATTACTATCTAGCAAGTAGTCTTATTTATTAGTATTTAGTTGGTACACACTTCTCGAATCCGTAGTGCACACTTTTAATTTCGGATTACACACTTTGTGTCGGGGTTCACTAAAAAATGATTCTCAATAAAATTGTATTAAGAGGACACCATACCCACTACATGTGTTGTCTTCGTCGTACAAGTACGTAGCATAGCAAATTGTACGCTCAGCAGATCACATTTATCTCCGTTTAAGATTTTTAGTGAATTGACCTATCATAAAAATTAAAGGCAAGATTATTACCGAGAGCATCTCATGGGATTTTTATTATCAATTTTAAGTTTTTTAATTTCAGTATTAAAAAATAAAAAATGTAGCGCAAGTGTCTATGGATTATATTTAAAAGAAATTTTTTAAAAATATTGATTAAAACAAAAGTTATTTCATTTGTCAGAATGTCAGATCTCTGTGAGACACCCTGTATACAGAACGATTCGCCAATAGTACTGAATCCAATGGTATCCGTTAAATGTGTATATTTTTTTTAAATTCTGATTTTTGGGAAATTTAAGTAACTCTGCATTTTCATTTTTCATCCTTTAATTTTACGATTAGCTACTCTTTAAATTTCCGCTTCGAGAATAACATTTTGATCATGAAAATAATTACGCGTGCAATTTACATATAAATATTTTTAAAACATGTAAAAAATAAAAACTATATACGACATACGTCATACTATCCCATCCAGAATTAGTAAGCAGTACTATAGTAGTATTAATAATACCCATATTTATTTTAAACTAGCTAACCCTGCTGCATGACAAATTAAATAATTTCAGTGAATTAAGCTGTTTTAAATCTCCTTTAAATTTAAACTACACGTATAATTATTATTAAACATTATATAATTTGGATGGTTTTGATAATAAAATTAATGTCTAAAATAATATGAAATTCTAACATTTGTTTTATGTTTCGTAACCATAATGGCAACCCTATGCAAGCAAAAAATATTCAATTTTCGAGAACCAACCAATACTTGTGAGCATCTTATAAAAAAACACAACATTTAAAAAATTGTCTCCAAGGTATACATCCTTGATATAGTATTATCTATGTACAAAATTTCAGAATCATGAGTGCTATAGACAATGCTGTGAATCGTCTTATACATACACACAGAAACATTGTCTTTTATTAATTTACATGAAAAAATAATATTTAGACAACAAACACTTGTTTAGATATCACAAATTCCTAATATATTTTGCAGCATTTACCATGTTGATTTATATACATTTATTTATTTAATCAGATTCACCAAAAACGTAGGTACCTACCAATAGTTTTAAAAATTGTATTTCATTGATGTGTTGCTTAATTCTTTGTGCTATTGTACTGAATAACAATTTGTCGATACTTTTTTTAATATTTAAATAATATTTAGAATAATCAAAGTTGTAGTTAACAATAAAAACGCATTACAGATTTGAACCTATTTTCACAATGACATTACCTATTTATACAATTCTACCAAGTTGATGAGAAAAAATAGTAAGTCGGTATTTTTAATATGCTCTTCATAACCTTCCCCCTTCTATTTTTTTTATCCTCGTGATGGGCATGGATGTACTTTAAGACCTTATTATATTCAAAACTGAGATAATATGTTCACCATTTAATTGTTTTAAGGTGAACTCTCGTGAGTGCTTCGAATTTTTACTGTATATTGTTAATTTTATATAGATATAGCTTACGATTAAAGGATAGAACGGGGATCGCCCATGGGCGTAATTAAGGGGGTACGAGAGGGATAGATCTCCCCAAAACTTTTATTTCACTGCTAACATTTTACATTTAGTGGAGTAGGGTACTGTATGAGGCTTACAGATTTTGCTAAAAACATATAATACCCCTCTAACCAAATCCCTAATCACACCATTGGGATCACTCTATATAATAATAATATATAAAATTATGTTCTTTTTGTTTTACACGGACGTCTACGATTTAATAACAGGTTCCCGTGAAAAAAAAAAACAAAAAAAAACCAACCTATAACAACAACAACAACGAAGACGACAACGACGACGATGACTACGAAGACGACCGTAGGTACTACAGCACTACACACTGTAATAAAATATATCATATAATAGTACCTATGTACGTACAACGATACAACACAAAACTATTGCACGTGTAGGTCTCATAATACCACTGCGGTGGGGCGGCGGCGGCAGATATAGCAACAAATTGCACGCACTGCCGCAGTGCCGCCCGACGACTAACTAGTTCATTCGGCCGGACCACGCGACTCCGCAATAATATTATATTATTACACTCTCGGCAGAAGCGCTGATGCTGTGCGCGCGACCACAGACACGCAGAAACCGGTCACAGCTCATTCGGTGCGAATCCTTAGTGCGACCGCAAAAGTTCGCGAACACCGTAGTCGTTCATCGCGGCCCGCCGTCCGACCGCGTGAACCGTGTTCGATATATTCGTCTTGCCTTTTATTATTTATTACTGCAAACTAACTACCGAAAGTTTTTTTTCTGTCGTCGCGATCATGGGCGCCGGCGAAGAACAACCGCGGTCCCCGATGGACCGCATGCAGAGCACAGTCTCGTTCGCGGCGATGACGATCGACCACAACCGCGGTAACCGCAGCGACGACGAAGACGACGACAACCACTCGTCTGCCTGCAGCACCGACGAAGTGCAGCCGGACGAGGAAGAGATGCCGCTGGTCGAAGCGCCCAGGACGAGGGTGTTCAGCGTGTCCGCCGACAGGCCGATCACCAGGATCCCGACCCGGGTCGACATGAAGACGTTGACGCACAAGGCGAAGCGACCGGCCGTCGACATCGAATTCCACGACCTAACATACGCCGTCAACACGACAGCGGGTGAGTTGTTCACGAATAAAAGTCATTACACGTAGGCACCAGCACTAGGTATAATAGGAATGTTTATTAATATTAATATATTTATCGTCAACCATTGGCTGAACTGCAGAATTTTTGTAATGGTGATATTTTTGTTGTTGTTCATATAACCACTTTCAATTTGTTGTGTAATAATTTATCACAGCATACTCAATTTGAACAAAAAGTTCTAAAAATCCAAGAGGACAGATAACACAACTTTCCCCTCATCCGGGCGTCTATGCCTGTTGTACAGATGTAAATACCTAAATACTAATCCTTTAGAGCATGTAATTTAAACGTCACAATGTCACATTTACACAGTTTGAGAGATTAAAACGTCGAGTTCAATGAACGATCACTATAATACACTTTGTCCAGCGAGAGGATTCTGCTGATTCTGCACATCTCCATACGACAACTATCGAGACCGGTTCCACAATTGCAGTATGTCGTGTGGTTGTGCGCAAAAGAACCGTTTTCATTGGGCCACCGCGTTTTCTCTAGCTGGACAGAGTACAAACACATTCAACAAATCGTTAGTGAGCTGTGAGCTAATGGTCCCTTAAAAATGGTTTAACAGCCCATGATGTCCGTATAATTTTGGTGAACCATTAATTTAATCTCAAATTTTAGTCCAGCCAAGCCGCAAGAGTTTTAGTGACCTGCGTTTCCCGCATTCGAATAGGAATTAATATTTTTGCATGATGTCCATATAATTAGATTATCATCTATTGGTTCATTCAAATTTTGTATCGGTAATATTTGTGTGGATGCAACTGTTGAAAAATACCATCATCCTCATTTTAACGTTCTTAATTTACTACATCCTGGGATAATAGGCCCCTTCCTCATACATAATGTTGATCTGGTCCTTTACAGTTTACACGTAAACTATCGAGTCTGACATGTTATGTCTACGGCTCGTAAAATATGTCTCATTGTTGTTGTTGTTGTTTTTGTTGTTGTGTAGTCGTATATTATGTAATTTTTTTTTTTAACTCGTCTCGGAAGTGCAACGTCAATCGAAAACCACCAATAAATAATAACAATAATAATAATTTGTATATTATTATTATTATTATTATACTATATATCGGCCGCATTATAAGCGTCACGTTAGAAAAAAAAATTAGATAATTATTATTCAATAGAAATTTCTAACATGTTGGTGATCACGATAACAATATACCTACCAGAAATTTCAAACACTGGTGTCAACGAAATATCTATTGTTTGTTACATCACGTTAACGACATGACGTAGGTACAGGTTCATAATATAATAAAAACGAGGAATCGCCGTCGTACCTGTATCGCATAACCGTTAGAATATTTTAATTAGATACACATGTATTGATTGAGAGGTAGATACCTCGTTCCTATTTTGTATGTGGGGCATAAAAAAAAAAAAAGAATAAATAATAGATGTCACTTAAAATATGAATGTTATAAGGTAAGTCCCGTTATTACAGTTATTTACAAAATATTTTCGCAAAGTTACCGTTCAATACGAAAACGTACCTCAACCTTTATTATGTTAAGTATAAATATTAGATAGGTAATAACTAATAAGTATAATTACATTCGAATAAAATGCTATAGCAATTATTATAGGTATATCTAATAATTGAGCTAATTCTTACCAAAGTGAAACGAAATACGACTATTTAACATAACGTGAGTAAAATATGTAATAAGTCCATTATGATACTTCGTAAATAATTGACAGTTTTAAATGTTTTCATAAATTCAACGTTTAAATATTAGATAGTGATGACCTCCTGTGATTTCCTATAGTACAACAATTAATATGGAAATTTCACATTTATTATTATTTATTAGTATTCTTCAATCGAAATTAGTTAAACAATAACTATTTAATATTTTACACAATATGATTCAATTTTATGTACCAAACATGCTTTTCTCTTAAAGAAAACGATTAGGGTTTTAGAATGAAGTACCTATAACATATTATTATGAAGATTTATCGTCGATTAACAATAATTACCTAAATGACAACATTAACGTGTCCACTATATTATTATAATATTCAAAACAATGTAAATAAATATTTAAAATCATAATAATAAACTTTTTCGGTTGAAAATTGATTAAAATTCTAATATGAGCAAGTTTCACTTAGCAAAACAAATTATTAAACTGAACTTGAACAAACCAAGTGCACCTATAATTATCACAAATCATTAAAAAATAAACTATAAACGTTCCAAATATTATTTGTGTGTATTAGATTTACATGAAACAATTTATTTCTAAGTTAAATTACCGAACTATTTTAAAATTAAATTCAACATCGAGTGAATTTTTAAAAACTTGCATAATATTATTAATAAACAAACTATTAAGGATATTATTTTTTTTATTCATATCACAGCATTAACAACTAAATTTATTATAAAGTTTAATACGAAAATAAATAATATGAATTAAATGTCATCCCACACTAAATATGGTTTGAATACCATCAGTAAAGTTTATTCATAAAATTATAAAATGTTGGTGGTGTTTAAATTATGGCAATTAAGTGTTCTGTTTTAAACAGGCTTGTCCTTTATTTTAGCTTTAAGCTCTATTGTAATGACGAACTTTTTTTCAAATGCTTTTTGTCCTTTTTTATGTCAATTCAAATTATTCCGTATTCATTCCTATAAATATTAAATGTATTAATATACAATATAAATTATACTATTATAGTTAGTAATTAGTATTAAACTTATGTATTTTATATACATATTTAATTTTGTTTTTGAATTTGAATTTGTTGACAAAAATATTAAGTATTGATGATGGCACTATAATAGTGATAGCGATTATGTTCATGAAAAATAATAACCACGAAAATCAATATTGATGAATTTACGTATATTATTATATTATAAAATAAAGCATGCTTCAAGAGTACAATGTTTTGTACGTTTTAAAAAAAACTAAAAAAAAAACAAAAAAAACTATAATAATATACAATATAATTTAGAAATATAATGAAAATTATTTTTTTATTGTTATCATGATATATAATGGTCATCCTAGTTTAAATATATATTTTCTATTACTCTATCGCAACAATGAATTATTACAAAACAAAGTAAGTCAACCTCTAAATTTAAATGAAATATCAAATACGAGTAGTATTCACTCTTTTTATTTTTTGATATAACACTTTTTCACATTTTTGTTACATGTGTAATGTGCTTAATGAACATAATAAGTCCATGTATACATTTAAAAAAATATTTAACTTGTAAAATACATTCATGATTTTCATACATTTTAATCAGGTAAAACAATTTACGCACTTCTAATGTATACGTTTTAATATTACAACCTTTATGATCTGTTTAGATCTCGGGTACACTCATCATGACGTGTGCTAATAAATAATAATATTATGATGACGATATTCATAGCTGACCCATGTATGTTGAATATTATTACCATTGTTTAAAAATCAACTGACAACAATAGCATTAGGCATTTTCTCAATTTTTTTTTGAATACAAAAATGTATTCATCATATATCTTTTAGTTTAGTATTTGTTAGGCAATCATCATTATATTGATCGCGATTCGCGATCAAAGAATGATCTTCTAATATTAATATTCACTAAAAATCAAAGTTTATAAAAAAAGTTTCAAAAATTTAAAACATAAGTACTCTTCAATTGCTTAAATTTGATATTTTCTGTTTTATTCGTCTGACAGCAGGGTTTATTTTCTAACCAATATACGTACATTTAGGATATAGTAGTATCAACTATTTCATACATACTAAAATAACCATCAAAATATTTACATTGTTTTTCATATTTTTAGTATTATACATTTTATTTTTAGGAATTGCATTTTATGTTTTTTTGCAATATTTTTCATCACAAAATTATATACGGTATATAAATGTGACTAAGTACCTAATAAAACAAAACATGAATGGAATCTATAGGTAAAATTATTCTTTATTTATAATATTGTTATTTTCGTTATTTTTTGGTATATTTTTAGATAAAAGATTTTATAGACCACCATTTAATGTTCTTATATTGATATTTTAATATTCTAATATACCAACTATGGATGAGGAATATTTTAAGTATATCAAAATTAAAATGTTGTTAAAAACCCTATAAGTACATAAAATTTGAATTGTTGTTGAAAGTTTATAACATTGTCTTATTATAATCTAATCTGCAATTAGCGATTAGCTATTCCACTTATAATTTCGAAAAATATAAAATCCAAATATTTAAATTCCTTAATTAATTCCAAGTTATTATTAAATGGGTGATGAGTGGATCGTATATTATAGCTAGTTTATAGCCATTATAAGATAGTATCATTGTAATAACATAAGCACGTTTTGTAAGAATCAAAAATGTCCTTGAACAATTTTTCCTTAATAATAACTTTAATAAGAATCCATATTATTATTTTTCTGTAGAAAAATAATTAATAACAATTTTTTTAAATCTACCTATTTGCTACTAAAAAAATTGGTACACTGTATTGTATAATATGTAGATCTATATATAATGTATAGATTATAGATACAAAATAATGGTTTGTGAGGTTTGCGATCTTTATAATAGCTAGGTATGTTACATGACATTWTTAAAGTCGTAATTAATCGGTTTAAGTAAAATAGGTAGGATTTCTAAAATAAATTTAGTGATTTGAAATGCATTTATCAAACCTATATTATTGGTAACTAACAATAATAATTGAAATAAATACAGTTTAAATTACCTATAGATACTATGTACGAATGTATCTACTATCTATAGTCACAAATTTAAATCCAACATAGACTTGAAAAAAATCGTTAAAAATAACAATCACAGAACCAGTTTAATAGTTATAATAGCTATAATAATATCAAAATAAATATAAATAAAAAAATGTCATGTCAGTTAACTGATATGTATCTTTGAAAATATGGGAACGAGTTTTACAAATAATTTGCAATTATTCCTTGCTAATTACATATTAATATTCAATAATGCACTTTTATTAACTATAGGCTAATTAATATTTTGTATTTATAAAAATCGATTAATTATCGTTTTCATGCGAATTTATATAGTAGGCAATACCTTTATTGTGTATTTATAAGTATCCCCTTAGTATAAGTACTATATAATTATATAATGCTATTACCTAACGATTTTTATTTTTAGTTCATAAGTTATTACAAAAAAAATCAATACTCATATATTCAATTAAAATTGCTAGAATGTATTTTTTTTTCATTGATAGTCGATGTGCAAATTTACTTGGTTAAAAAAAACACTTGATTTCTGTAAACCAGTTTTCTAGCGCCCTCGACCTTGGATTTATACTGGAACGATACAATATCACTCTAATCGTCTTCAAGTTTATACTTTTTACATTTAATATGTGTGATTATTTTTTTCTGTTTTGTAAGGCCTAAAATTATAAAATATTATATTATAAATTATTGTTTAAGTATAGATGTACCTACATTTTTAATTTAGCGAAATATTAATTTTTATTAATTTTTATAGACTATTGTCCTATCGACATACCTACATACAAACATTCAAATGAAAAATATTACAAATTTTTATAAGGAACACCTAATTTAAATTTTAAGTAAATATCATTTTACACCATATTATTAAATTTAAGCCTTCAGAATTAAAACGGAAATTCGAAAGTTTCAAGATAATAATTAATACCTAGATTTTATTATCATGTTAAAAACATATTTAATTATATTTTTATCATTATCATTATTATTATGCTAACCTAACATATACCTTTATGGCTTTATGTTACTACTCATCATCATTGAGTTGTATGATTGTTCCCATAATTTCATTAACTCGGTAGGATTTATTATTTTATGTCAATAATATTACCTTAAATGGTTAAGTATAAAACACAGAATTATATTTCTCAAGTTAAACAGGAAAATGTGAAAATAATGATTTTTATTATTGACATACAAAGTAGGTATTTGAAAAATTACCATGATATTAACAAATGATTGTACCTAGTGAATTGTGAATATAACCACAAAAATAATAAATTAGACATCAAATGTTCATATTTAAATTTATGTTTTTTGTAACATTAAAAACATATTTTAAAGAATTAATATTTTAACTTTAAAATAAAATTGTATCATACTGACCCTGATCAAAATACTGTTACGTTAAGAAAATATTATATTGATTTTAAAATCATATTGAAAATATATTCCTACCAATTTTATAATATTAAATTATGATCCATCAATTTTTTTCTGGTTCGTTACTAACAGTACACCTATACTTTTTTCATTATTTAAGGCTTATATATAAAATAAATTTAGTTTATTATAGAGGAAGTATAATTGTGCAAGGCAATAAATTTAATATCGAAAACAAATAATCAAGTTATTTGAGTTAGTTACAAAATATTAAACTTTTATATATATATTTTTTGTCAATGCCTTCCAAATTGCCATATTTTTTTATATCTCTGAAAATCGCATTACATACTAAAGGAATGATCAAAAGTCTATTTAATCTTTTATCATATTTTATGAACTATTATTTTAATAATATAATTAATACATTTAATAAATAATAACATAACGTTGTATCATTTTTTTTTTTTTTTATTGATCATTTACAACTTCGACACCAAAGGCCATCAGTTGTTTTATTTTTTACATTACGTTTGCTTACATGTTTAGATTTGGTTGTATCATTATTTTGTTTATAACATTATGTATTAAATTATGTTTGAATAATAGTACGAATATACTCAGGAAATCGATTTCTTTTAAAATGTAATTTTATTAACTGCCTATGTTATTTGACAGAATAATAATAAATTATAGATCTATAAATTAAAATTGTCCAAAACAGGTTTATGGTTAAATAACTAAAAAAGGTGTATCCACATTGCGAAAAACAACTATATTGGCGTTAGACCTTCGTGAGTTACTATAAAGTCCATGGATAGGACATTTTTATTTTTAATGTGTATGTAAAATAATGTTTACAAAAGTATTCTAGACTTTAAAAAATATTTTTAGTGGATGTATTATAAACAAAAAACCTTGTACTGAAATGCCAGGTCAAGGGGTAGCAAATGTAAATACCTACTGTCTACTGCTATCTATCAAAAMATTATTCTGTATTTATAACAATGATACGTAGAATTGTTATAGTCTCTTAGAACAATATAATATTAAAATGTCAATAATATACACTGAGTTTTTGACATTGAATTTTTTATATTTTACATGACATATATTTTTGTTGATATGAATTATGCATAAATAGTTAGACGAGTTATTGTTGTTAAATATAGTGAGAATGTAACTATTTCAAAAATATCATGTAATTCTTTTTCCTTTGAATGATAATTTGATACTCTTTACTATACAGGATTTTCCCCAATTTATAACGTCTCATATCATATAATATGTGACATTTTAGAGCACAAATTCCCAGGGAAAATAAAAATTCACATAATGGTTGGTAATACTCCTGCAATAGACAATAGGTACATATTTAGTTCTGCAGCTTGGTCTTAATTAAAATATGAATATTTTGAAATAATAAGTGTTTTATATTTAAAAAATCACCCTCGACGATTTTATAATATTTAAAATAATTAAACCGTGTTTGTTTAGCATAATTTTTTACTAACTCCATTTTATAGGACAAAGAACAATACTGAAAGGCATAAACGGTTTCTTTCGTTCGGGACATTTGACCGCCATTATGGGCCCTTCCGGTGCTGGGAAGAGTTCGCTGATGAACATACTCGCTGGATACGTGTAAGTTTCCTGTTTGCATTGAGATCTATATTTAATATGTGGGTTGTTCATCTGATACCAACATCTGTAGGTCATCAATCGTTCGTTCGTTTCCTAAAGAAAAAAATAATCCTATATTATAATATGATCGTATTGAACGTTCACATTGCCTGACCAAGGACCAACCAATAACCGATAGAGCCGTTTATTATTGGATTGCATATATTATAAGTACTTGATTAGAAATTTAACATTATTTATAAGCTGAAATCAATTTTATTTTGGTCCAGTTTTTTATTTCCTGATTGAATTTTTTTTTTAACCATAAAAAAGTAGCGAGTTATATAGTCATATTGAACCTCAAGAAACATGGAAAATTCACAGTTTAATACAGTAGATGCTATTATTATAACTATTTTTTGTTAAGATTTTAAGAACTAATAAAGATATTTTTTATCTTCTTGTTGAGTACTAAGAAAATTTTAAAACATCCGTTTGGTCAACCAGCCTTGACCAAATCCAATGCCTATAAATACGAATTTGGATTGATAAAGCTAATATTCATGATTAAAATTAATCCTGTCGAACACGTTTCTTAAAGTCATAATAAGAATATAAATAGGACCAACAATATTATATGCCCTACAAATCTATGAAATATACCTTTAAAATATCCCATAATATATTACCCATAATAAGGTATATGAGCGAAACAAATTAATATTATGTAAGTAATTCCTGAGTCTTTAAGATCCTAAATATTATATTGCAAAATATACAAAATACAGCCTGAAAATTCAAAAATATCATAATATACAAAATACAATTTTAATAAGCATCATTAGGTTATGAAACAAATTTTGGTATTAAYTATAGATATTTTTTTGACCAACCAATAAAAATATGCAAATGCATACAAGTGATGGCCCTAATTATAAATTACCAAAAACTCAAGAGATACGATACTCTCGAACATCATTGATTTTAATACTTTATACTAACTAATAACTTTATACAAAATATTTATCAATTAAAAAAAAATTATAAAATATCAATTTTAAGTCAGTTTCGTATAATCATTCACAAAGTTTAATATAAATAATTGTTTTACTATTACTATAGGAGAAGTGATATCAAAGGACAAATTCTTACAAATGGTCATCCCAGGAATATGCAACTTTTCAAAAAACTTTCCAGTTACATAATGCAAGAAGATCTGCTCCAACCTAGACTAACAGTTCTAGAATCATTGAGTTACGCAGCTCGATTAAAAATTGGTAGTGAATTATCGAGAGAAGACAAAAATAAAGCTGTAAGTAAATAATATTATTAATTTATTGCTCATATATAATAATAATTTTTTTTATATATATAAATTTATTAAAGCTTCGACATCAAAGGCCTTTAGCCTGCATTAAATTAATATAAATAAATGAACATTATAATTATTACAAGTATTTACATGTGTTTACAATTTATGACTTATGTTTATGCTATGGAAGAATGCATTGATTGCGTCCGTGTTGTCTTCATTGAGTGCATGATGTGAGTGAGGTGGGGTTTTTGAGGATCTTGCGGGCTTCCGTGTATTTGGTGCAATTAATGATGATATGTTCTAGTGTTCGTGTCTCATTGCAAGTATCGCATACTGGGGCTGGTTCTTTTCTTATGAGATAAGCATGAGTTAAATGTGAGTGGCCTATTTTAGCTCTAGTGATATTTACTTCATCTCTTCGTTTAGTGTTGGGAGGATATTTTAATTTTTTAATAGATAATTTTACGTTTCTCAGTTTGTTAGAGAGGGATAGGTTAGACCAGAATTTTTGCCATTCTTCCATTAATTTATGATGTATAATGTTGAAATTTTYGGATRAGGTTARTGTGTTTATCTTTGTGGAGGAAGGAGATGTGGTGGCTTCATAGGCTATAGAGTCAGCTTTCTCATTTCCGGGTATCCCAATGTGAGAGGGGACCCACATGAAGCTTGTTGGTCTATTTATTTCAGATATTAGTTTCTGGATATGTTGGACGATCTCGTTTTTTGAATAGGGGTTTGATATTGATGAGAGGGCGCTCAGAGAGTCACTGATGATAATGCTGCAATTTTCCGGGTTTGAAGATAAGACAATTTTTAATGTTTCATAAATAGCGTAAGTTTCGGCTGTATATAATATACTGGTGGAAGGCGGTAGTTGGAAAAGATTATTTTCCTGGTTTGAGATGACGGAGAAACCCACACCATTTGTATTTTTAAAGGTATCGGTGTAAATTTGGGTGTTGGGTGTATTCCGGGAATTGTTGKTGTATTATTTCCAGAAACTGGTTTCGTATAATTAAATTGTCAGTGTTTTGTTTGCAGTATTCAGTCAGTTTGGTGTTGATGATTGGCGACCAGAGCCAGGGAGGGTGAGACGGTTGAATTTTATTTAGTGTTTGTGCTTGGAAGGATAGGTTTTCACTAATAGTTTTAAAGTTTTCAAATAATGTTCTTCTAGAGGCTGATAGATTAGGGCGTAATGGGTTGTGAAGAATATGGTTGGTGATGTGATCAGACAGATTTTTAATTTTAGTTACATATTTTAAGATATGTTTTTGGCGTAATAATAATTTACTAACGGTATATTATTATTGATATACCTAGTTAATACATTATAWTTTTTTTAATGAAAATGAGATAATGAAATATTAAAATGCAATCACATCATTATAATACAGCACATTTTTTTTTAAATTAAGTTATGCACGATAAACAAATGTAAACGTTTATAAAAACATAAATAAAATCATTTCCGCTGTAAAAATAATTACATAATGTAATCAATATAAATTCCATGATCATTTTCAATTTAATAGATAAATGTAGGTATATTATACTTGAAAACAAAACCTAACACATTTTTATTTTTTGTATATAATATATGTAATATAAATTAATAATTATTGATCAAATACAAACTTACGATTAAAATTTAAAAACAATATATTAATTTTTTAATCAAATTACTCACCTATAATAAAACATACAATGTCGAAATGAAAATGAAAACGATTGCCTATATTTGTTCAATCCTCATTATGGTGTTGATTGTTTTCTCAAGTGTGAAAAAACTAATACCTCTAATACAGGTACGTTACACGATTCATGTGTACCTTTTCTTCGATCATTAACAATTATTGCTTATCATATCATTATCATAGGTGGTTGTAAAAGTGTTATCTTATTTTACCAAGGAAAAGCTCAATATACATATTATTATAATATTATGTGTACACACATTTGCCATTTGGAGTAAATATTCGCAAACAACTGTGTGTAAGATACCCGTTTTCGATCTAAGGACATAACCTATAACTATTGCCTTGACCCATGCTGTATATATCGTAATATAATACATGGATAAAATTATCAAACGTGTTATTTATATAGCAAATAATGTTAAACCTGTGGATCATAAAATTAACATATATCTAGGTAATATTACCACCAAAATCCGGATAAAAATTTGTTTGTAAGATTTAATAAAACCTATGATCATACCTATTCAAAATTATCACAGACATTTTTAAGTATGCCCACCGCGTTGATACGTAAAATATGTATTTAATTAAAGAGCTAAAGTTATATAAGGTTACTTGGGTAGTACAAGGAAAAAAAAATATGATTTAAAACTGAAAATGGACGCTGCAGAATTTAGCATCTCGATAATACGTAGTAGATAATTATGATAATGCGTTTATATGTTTAAAAAAATGCTTGATACAAAATAATTTTGTTTTCTCAATGTGTCGATATAATTCATGAGTCATGACACACACCAGAGTAAGTACTTTGTAAACACAATCACGTGCAGCTTGCTGGTCGAAATAATTAGTTTACCGGGAAATAAGTAGGTGATACATCCTAAATTCTACCCGGACATAAGAATTTTAAGACACGTGAATCAGGTGGCAACTATTCATCAGATGATCATATAATAATTTGAATATAATGTTATGTTTTGATTTTTTAGCAAAATGTTTATAATTCATCGATTTGTTATTTTAATTTGATTTAACTAATCGATTTATTTTAAAACGAAATTAGTTGTTTATGATAAAATACGGTCACCAAAATACAACAATAAATTAAGATACAGTAGGTACCTACGTTAATATTTTTATATGTTAATGAGACTTGCAAGTTGCAAAATATATTAAAATTAGTATACAAATTACCATCTATAAATACACTTATCTATATTCAGAAACTAAATAATAATTTATACTTTATAGTAGAGATAGTCTGAGATAGATACTAATAAAAACTATGTTAATTATATTTCAGTGAGTACTAAGAGAGTAATTAATGTCCATCATTTTAAGTAATCTATTTAATTTTTTTCTAAAAATTTTGTGCATTTCATCAGCAACTAATGGACAAGTTTATTTCATTTAATTTGTGTTAATTAAACTACTTGTGATGTTATTTTGAAATGGGCCTTGATAAATGTGTTATTACCATTTACCACACATTTGAAGTAGGTACCTGAGTAATTATTTTTTTTAAAGGTTTTCTTTAATAACATTTATATAATCGTCAATACTCTAATTAACTTAATAGTCTGGGACCTGGGTAATATTTTGTTTCAAATTCAAAAAATTATTATCATTAAAAAATTTCTAGCATTTAGTTGATTTAATTTTTATATTTTTGATTTTTAAAATACGTCTATTTCTTTTATTAATAATATGTACTATTTATCATTTTATTTACTATTATTGTTATTGTTATTGTTTATCAATATACATTTAATTTACAATGTACGTGAATTATTATATTTAATAATTTTATTAGGCTTTTGTTTTTAAATTTTAAATATTATTGTATGCTTTTTATCATTAGCCATATCAATTACAAGTTTATAACCTTAATTAAAATACATTTGATGGAGAGGAAAATCTAAGTAGAAATTCTGTTACCTAATGCATGTTTTGAAACATTCTTACTTCGTAATTTTCACTAAAAGAAACATTATTTAAATAATTAAAAAAGATATTATTTACTTAATAATATACTATACTTAATAGTTATATATTTTAAATAATAATGAACTAAGTAGTAAAGATTCAAAAGCAATTAAAAACCCGTAAAAAATGCAGATAGTTCTACGACATATTTTTGCAAAAATGTTAAAAATTAATACATTTATTTTAATTTTTAATAAATTCTTGGTACTTACAACGTATCTATAGAATATTTTTACCCCGAAAAATTCAATTTATCTATATATTTTTAATAGACATTCAGACACCACAGGTTACCTCTTACCCACAACTATAATATTATAAATAGATGAACAAACAAAATAATATAAGTAACAAACTAATGATAATTACCGGTTTTTCCCGCAGACCCATCACTGAAAAAAAATATTACAACATAAGATCAGAAGAGCTCTCCGTAAATAACGACAACTATTAACTTCTGTTGGTGTTTCATAGTATGACGTGACGTTACTTATAACTATTTATTCACAATTTAAGTTAATATTTTATAACGTAATATTGGCATTACCTTCAGAATATTTCCGTTCAAAAAGAACTTATAAAAACAAGATTAAAATTATTTATATTTTTAAACAATACAATTATGTTATATTTTACAATCACATGAAATAGGTAAATATTTAAGATAATAATAATTTTCAAAGTGCAATATCGAACGTCGTTTACATTTTTCCGAGTTACATACTCACGGATTTTCGTAGAAAATTGTTCTAGAACCTACCAACTATATTATGTATATGAACATTAAATATGATGTCATACAGGGAAACTATAAGCAATTTATTCAATATTCAATTATTTCAACTATTTCAACTTAATGCTTCATGATTATAATGCATACTAAATTTAATGGGTTTTAATGGTTTTTATACCTATAATATTGGTGCACCAAGTCATAATTCACTACCTAATTATTTATCGAAAAGTGGAATCTCTATAACAAGTGGTCATCACAACCGCACATTTTCAAAAAAAAAAAATGTCGTCTTCAAATTCACAAATTTCCATATAATATCAGTTATTACCACACAGTTTTCCTTAAATTACACCATTCAATACCACGCACAGTTATATGTATCAATAACACATACATTTATCTAAGATACGACAAGGCATCGAAGCAGACCAATACCAAAGGTCGATAAATAGGGCATGCGCTCTAAGATGCAAAATATTTTAATGTGTAGGTAGATTTAATATATTTTGATAGAGGTGGTAAAAAATACAGTTGACTCTCGATAATTCAAACCTTCAATAATTAAAAACCTTTGGTAATTCAAAGTAAATGCTCGGTCCCGTGAAAATCACACGGAAATACGATTAAAAGCAATAAATTTGATTACACTAGGTAATTCGAGATCAAATTTTGGAAAAACTGGACACTTGACAATTYGAAGTATCATCCGTTCAACGCTCGGTAATTCAAAGTATAATCAATAAATTAAAAAAATTATGAAACCAAATTCGATGAATTATTACAGATTTTTTCAAAAAATAATAATCTTTTGCTATAGTAATTTAATTTACATAGTATAATATTATTAGGTTTATCATTTTATTATATTATCAATAAGTTTGATGGCCCTGTATGTCAGTAACACTTTATAATAATAATAAAAAAAAAGGTATATAATTTAATTTACAATTTAAAAACAATATATAAATCTAATATGTACCACCTGATTTTCTGAAATAACTAATAGTTATGTGCAAAACTAAAAAAAAAAATAAACATTTTTTTGTTAACCGTCAGTAATTAGAATTTATGTTTTTGCTCTCTCGTTACTTTGAACTACTCAACAATTTGAACTCTCGTTAATATTCCAAGTTTTTCAACAGTCCCGTCAACTTCGAATTATCGAGAGTCGACTGTAGTATTGTCTTGAAACGTCAATGTATGTAACACAGCACTGCTGGTAGGTGTTCCTATATTTATAAGACTTGTCTTGTTAGAAATTGTTAATTAATTAACAGCATTGCAAATAATACAATTTTAAAAAATAACCCGATTAAATTCCTAAATATTTTACGGCTTCAGACATTTATTAGAGAAACAGTATAATGATTTCATCCGAATTCTGTGTTATTTAATATTTTAAAAACCTTGTGTTTCCTCGATGCAAATAAAACCACATTTTAAATTTTGTATTACTTTAATTGGAATGCGGATATTAGCATTTTGACAGTATATTAAACGTTTACGATGTTGGATAACACGCAGGAAGTAACCTCGATAGGGATTTAGGTATAATACACTAAACGTGCACTTACATAAGCAGTTATCGTCAATTAGATACAATATAATATATTATCTTGCCATTGATTTTCTTATTTATAAATCTTGACAACTAATTAAAGTTTAGATGAATAAATATAATATATATTTATGTATTAGGTACCTATAGGTAAAACCGTTAAGATTTAGTTAGGAGCAAATAGGGATAAATAATACATTTTTTACTTTTTTGTAAGCTATACTCATAACATTAATAAAGCAAGGTCTCTTGCTATAATTTCAGTATAGTGAACAATTATAATAATATTGTAACTAGTTAAATAATCACAAATTACAATAAAGTAAAAGTGGATAAATTAAAAATAAACAGGTAATTAATTTTGTCCTACAGGTGAACGAGGTGCTGGAACTCTTAGGGGTATCGGTGTGTCGGAACACGTATGTGGAGAAATTATCCGGAGGTCAGCGCAAACGTCTATCCGTGGCCTTAGAATTGGTCAACAATCCACCGGTGATATTTCTAGACGAGCCCACTACGTGAGTATTAATCACAAATCATATTAATATTATAACTGTGCAAATAATAATCTCAGATGTCCATTCTATATACCGCGGTCGTGAGTTTTTAAATATTTTTACACAAGACTATGTCATATGAATTGGACGTTAATCGGTGCAAAATATAGTAACATAAGTTCGACGAGTTGCAGGTCTCCCGATCAAGTCGGGGGTTCGTGCCAAATTCCAACTATAACCCACTTATTATCAGCTATTATATGCGCGATAGTGTGTCCGATCAACTTCAAGAGTTCGCAAAAATATAATATATGTCTGCGTGAAGATCGAATCCTTATTTGCATATTATTATGTACAGGATGACTAGAAAGTGTAGAGTCTACTTTTATACAACATTTTTGCAGTATACGGATACAGTCGTAATTATTGTAATAATATGTGACGAGTATATGCACGCATTTCCGCAGTATATCTAATATACACAGAACACGTTTCAGACAGCTTTCTAGAGACAGTCAAATAAAATAATATAGGTATTACCTGCATGTAACATTTTCATTACACACTAATGCATAGATATATATATTCAAACGACTACAAAAACAAGTTTGATTGTCAAGGTTGAATATCAAAACATATCGTGTGTACCTCCCAAAAACAATAATAATAATGAAAAAAAAAATATATATATATACATGTAATTTTGAATCATACGATACAACATTATACTATTATTACTTTTCGTACGTATTTTAATATAGTGGGCTTGACATTGTGGCGATAAAGCAGTGCGTCACCCTGTTGGTCGATCTCGCCAAACAAGGAAGGACCGTGGTCTGCACCATACACCAGCCCAGCTCATCGTTATTCCATATGTTCGACCACGTGTACATGTTAGCCCGAGGCTCTTGTATTTACAACGGGTCACCCAAACAATTGGTGCCGTTCCTAGCACAAGTCGGACACGTCTGCAAGCCCACGCACAACCCAGCAGATTTTGGTATGGTGCCTGCTGTTAAATATTATTACGAAATTTTTAATTTTTATTTTAAATGTACGACTAGGATTTGTGTGCGCTAAACTATCACACGAATCACGCATATATGCCCCGAAAATTGTTAAATATGCTGTAAATATAATATTATATATAAGTACCCGTATGCAGATGAGTACAAATCCGAACCAGTGGCGCCACAAATTGGTCGGGTGGGTAAAATAATAAAGTATGCTTTCTAGCTAATCTTGCTGCTATAATTTTATCAAACAAGAATGTCATTAAATTATGTATATATATATGTAATTAGTTAAGCCTGTTTCTCTGTTATTTGAAGAGATAGGTGGGTCAATCAAACTATTTGAACTGCCAGTTTCAATATCACTATAGGTGCAACTGATCCGAACCCTAATCATTAAAAGTATCAGTCAAGCATTTACAAAATAAAACTCGTATATGATTAACATACGCGTGAATCAATAAATGCCAAAATACGTAAACACAATAACACGTGTCGAAATCTAATTCACGTGAATGATACTAATATTGATATCCACTAACAATTTATATTATTTATTATTATTTATTATTATATACATATATCAACAATAGTTATTAATTTTTTCAGAAATAACTGTTAACTTATGATTTCTAGAAGGTGGTGATGGTGGTGATCAAGTATTAGTATATTACATTAGGTGCCTATAATTCAACCAGTTATACTTTGTGTCACTCGTTATTAAAATAATCTAGTCTATATGTATATAGTGGCAAAGCTAGGATTATAAAAGAAGGAGAAGGGAGTTTAGTATAAATTAAACTAAATTTTTTACAGTTTCATGTATAAATAGTATAAAAAGTGGGTTAGGTATCAATATTTTGACTGTATTTATGGGCCCCTAAAAAATGTTTGTCCTCTGCTAGAAACTATCTTAATATCTTCACCCGGACTCGGTGACCACTGAAATGGATCAATCATTTAAGTACAGGTGAGAAAGAAGTCATAATGATGGATTCTATAAAATCAAAAGTAGTGCCTACTCTGATCGGGATTATATGAAGCATTTAACAAAAATTGCATGAGTTACAAACTTTAAACATAACATTACCTAAGAATTTACGCGACAAGAACAATAAGTTAATTGCCACGCAGTCTACGGCGTTCTTCGAAAACGGACAGTTGTTTCAATGACAAAACGTCTTGTCCTACGTCACAGATTTTTAAATATCCGACATTACCGACTTATACGTCATGCATTTGTACATTAGATACGCATTGAATCAAATTAAATGCCATAAACAAACCTCGAAGACAATAACTGGTTATTGTAGCCATAATACTATAATAATTCTAATGCCAGTATTATGATAGACATGTTTGTAGCTTAACGAGTTATCTCATATGCTGACATCAAAATAAAAATAATTAAAACGTCGTATACAGTTAAGGAAATATATTAATATATACAACTTACTACCAAATATTTTACATTTTACATTAAAACGAATTTTTTTATAGATTACCGCTATTCAACTTTTACCATTATCTGGCTGGGCACTTCGGGATAAAAATATGTATGTAACTCCTTGCAAATATAATATACAGCTCATGATATCGATAGAACATAGTTGAGCATACCTTTTTAGAAATACGATTGAGCATAGAATATTAATTTCTATCAGATGTTTCCACATTCGATCGAAATTTTGAAATGTATAATTAATATATTTGGGCTTATGCTAGGAAAACTGACAATGGAGCCTATAAACTGTACGATAAAATTTTTGGAGAAGGATGAAGAGAATAAAAGACATTTGTGTATGATGTTTATAGATTTAAATAATCTATAGTTTTATTCACCTCACCCTCACATCCTAGCAGTCGTTGGAGTATTGCTCAAAACAAAAACGAAAACTCTGATTAAAATGAATTAAATTGAATATAAGATGACCATCTGCCAAAGAAATTAAATTAAATGTAAATAAACTCTCTGCCAATATGAAATTACTATTCCAATTAAGATAAGTTGGAAGCAGATATCAAAAACTAAAAATGTTAGAATTTCAACTTCACGATAAGCAATAACCTAGCCTGATTATGTATTTATTATTGTTTTTGTTAACAGGCCAACAATACGTAGCATGGAGGTAATGATAAAATCGTGCTTTTTTTAATTCGTGCCATATTTGTATTTTTGTAATTATTTAAATTGATATTTTTTACAAAATATAATAGTTCAGAACCGTTTGACATAGCTCTTAGTAGTATTGCAGAATTTTTTATACTCAATTGAGAAGGTTTACTTTTTTATTATTCCTGTATACCTAAACATTTAAAACACCAATAAATGTTCTCAATTATGTCTTAAAAAAAGGCTTTATACTCAATCTTGTGATAGCACATAATATCGGGCATGTAGTACTCAGTAGTGAATACAAAACTTTTGTACATGATGGGAGGAGAGGGGATCAGTGAAAGAAACCTTAGCCTATGTACAAAAATTGATATTTTAAGGTTTATAATTCCCAAATATTGTAATCTTTTTTTTTGTTGATAAACTGTTAATAACACAATCCAGTTAAGTTTTCCATTAGTAGTAACTATACCTGATTTAAATAAGGAGAGTTAATTTATGATTATTAATGCAGTTATAATATAGTCATATTTGACTCAACTATACGCAATGATTAAAATGTACTGACTAAGAACGAATAATTTAAAAAATATCCCAGATGCCATTATTGTAACACTGTTGATTACATCAGATGACTGAGAACCGTTACAGCCTTGGAGTAAATCGAACAAATTTGGAATTTTTAAATCCTACGACTTACGTTATGATATAAATGGCCTTGTAGTTCATCTACTAGTTTTTCCTTTACGACTATTAGGTACCTAACTAATAAAAATATACAGAAATAAATATTATACATTTATTCTTTGAAAATGCCAACATTTATACAATTGACGACTCTGTGTACGACACTCCCTAGTCTAGTGCCTACATCTTTTGTTATTACAAGATCCAATCAAACCATTCCTGCCACAATTCACATTATTCAATTCTAAACCAATCAATGTATTGAATTTAGAATGAAGTGCGTTTTTGTTTTTGATAAGCAGAAATCTAAAATTTAATAAATTCATCGAAAATTCGAAAAAATTTAAAATATTTTGTGATTGAAAATGTATGAAATGTTCAATTTTTATAGTTAAGACTTTAAAATGTAAAACAATATTTTTCATAAGTAGTTCATACAATTCTCTTTTTTGTAATCAGTAGGCAATAGGTTAGACTTACTTTTAATTTTAAATAGATAAGAAACTGACTGGAGACATTGCGAGTCACCGTGTTTATAATATTGTTACGAATGGACAGTGAACTCCACTCAAATTTTTTTTTTTTGGACTCGATTATTTAAGAATCTATAAAATTCTTAAAATTTAAATAATTCTCAAGAAAATATTTAATGAAAATACAAATATAACGTCTTTATATTATCATTTTCATGATTAAAGACATAGTTTAAGATTTCTTCATCTCTGCAGCTCTGGAGCACAAATTAATTTAAAAATTAATTAAGGGTCGTGATTAATTTTATTGTTTATTTATCAGCTTAATTTGGCATTTGAATCCGATTGTTTTTAGAATATTTATAATAAAATAAACCATTTAATAATCGTTTACATTAATTTGTAAAAAAAAAAAGCTTAAAATTGTCTTATTTTCAAAGAAACAATATTATAAAGTTCGAGATTAAAATATCGAAAAACGGAGTTCTAAGCGGCCTATATAGAATTATATTACCCGTTATAGTTTATAGGTTAAGAAAAAAACTATACAATTTGGTTGATCCTTGGTATTATTCTTTTATAAATATATAATAATATTATTAACATTAGCATCGGGCCCTTTAAACACGACTGGCTAAACGTTTTATCTCTAAAGCGTTTTTTACTGTTCATACTTCACTACATGTGACAATAATAATTGTCTTATCAATTCTCTTTCTATTACAATATTATTTATTTATTTTTTATAAGATATAAATGCCTGCGAAGGTTTAAGACAGTAAAACAGTAAACTGTGTGTTTATGTTTGATACTATCCAGTGTAAGACAAAAGTATAACATAACAAAAATTAATTATTTCACAGTTTTCGAGGTATTAGACAACGATACAATAGTTGACCTAACGAGAGAAATTCAAAATGGAAAAGTAATATTATGTGACGATTTAGACGAAATGGAAAACGGAATGGCGACTTCCAAACTTTGTAAGTGTTGCCCAAACTCTAAACGAAACATTTTTTTTTATACATAACTTTTTGTTTAGGTCGTACCGACACGCTTATTACATTGCCACCAGTATTTGATGATGCGCCAAAAGTAGATCAATCCGAAGCGGAATACCCATCATCTTTCAGTACACAATTCTCTATACTGTTGGCAAGAAAAACCAAACAATTCTGTAGGAATTCCGTAAGTTGAAACATTTTAAGATCCTTAAGTGTTTTACCCATTTCTTACTTTGTTCTTGGAGTTGCCTATATAAAACCCCTTAAAACTCGTTAGTATTAATAACCATTATTTTGATCCTAGATTACTTTACCTATTTAATCCTATTTAATCTTTACCGTTTTCATGAAACCGTTTTTTAAACTGTTTGTGTGCAGACTGGACTGTGGATATCTTTTTTCCATCATACATTCTCAGCTTTGCTTCTTGGAAGCATTTACTATGGAATTGGATCAGATGGTAATCGACCATTTGAAAATTTCAAATTTTGTATCAGTGTAATTGTATTTTTTGTTTATACTCATGTTATGGGCCCAGTACTTACATGTAAGTACACAGCTTAATATTATTAATTATTTTATGATTGACGATTTTAATCATTCCATATTACAGTTCCGTCGGAAGTCAAGCTATTACGGCGAGAATACTTTAACCATTGGTATAGTCTCAAATCATACATCTTTGCATCCACAATTACATCATTACCAAGTATGGTAAGTAAATATTTTTAACAAACTTATTTTAAAATACTAATGTTTTAAAATATTAGTTTTATATTTCTAATTTACATTGGGATTTTGTATACTTCTTTTCAGATATTATTTGGATCGTTATTCCTTGTAATTGTATACTTTATGTCTGCACAACCAATAGAATGGATTAGATTCAGTCAGTTTATGGCGATAGGACTATTTACTGGTTACACGTCCGAAGGATTAGGCGTTCTCATCGGGTCATCTGTAAAAAATTCCGTAAGTAAAAATTATGAATATTTAACACATACTTATCATATGTACCTATAATTTATTGTTTCAAAATTATTATTTGAAAAAAGAAAAACCGAAATCGTATCAAATAGAATATCGCTTTTAACGATCTTTTGATATTAAAATGTCTATGATTTTTCTCATAATATAATATGATCAATAATCAATGTAAAATAACAATAAGGTATATTATAATGTTTGGTAATTACACTTTTTACGCATAAATCATTTTTCATCAGTCATCTTCTTAATATTTTACAGAAAAAAAGGGTGATTCTCATTAGGATAAAACTTATTTATTTTAATTACTACGGGAGTACGGGCCACCCAATTACATCATTTAGTATTCTAACGCTATAGGAATATTCAAATTTACAGAGGATATAGAAAAGAGAATACAAATATAAAACAACAATTAAATGCAAATAAAATAATTTAATACAACATTTAGAAGTAAAAAATATATAAAAAGACGTTTAGCCGAAAAAATTATAATTTAATTTGAGTAAAAATAGAGGAAACGGAGGTGACTCTGAATTAGCAGTGGACATACATTGCACTAAAGGTTAATTCAGGCCATGGTTCGTTAAGGATGGTGCGGGATAGCGAAGGGGTAAGAAAGACGTGACTTATACGGATGGGAGGGGGAGGGCTTTTAGAGGTTCAGATGAAAGAAGGGTAAGGGAGTCGACAGCACAAGAAATAAATTTTTATGGAAAACGTATCAATAAATTGTGAACAAAACGTATTAATAAATTATGAACAAACTTTATTGTTGTTACATACGCGCCACTTGCAGACCGGCGCCGTGATGACGCCCGCACTGCTGGCGCCGATGCTCGCACTGGCCGTTTACGGGATGGGCTACGGGCTGGCCATCGAGCCAATCATGGAGTCGCTGATGGCCACTAGCTTCCTGAGGTACGCGCTGGTCGGCGTGTGCACTTCGCTGTTCGGAGACGGACGCGCAGACATGAACTGCTACAAAAACGACCTTTACTGCCACTACAAAAGTCCGGAACTGCTGCTCCGGGACCTGGGAATGAGCGGCCGGTCGATCACCAACCAGTTTATCGGGCTGGCACTGTTCGGCCTGTTCTTCAGGCTGGCCGCGTACTACATCATCAAGCTAAGGATGATGAACAAGTCGCTCCGCAAGATACCACTATACTTCAAGAAGTTCCTGCGAGGCTAGTGATTCCCCGACGGCGAAGGCGGCGGCACGAAGAACTCGCCGCGCAGTCTACTTATCCGTTTCTTCGTTATCGCCGTTGTATTTTATACATAATATTATAGTGTTCAGGCTCAGGTCACGTCATCGGCTGTGCGTAGGTAGGTACTTATATTGATTCGACTTAGGCACCGTACAGTAGTGCCTACCAGGTGTTTATAATGGTAATATTGTAACAACGATGACTCGTACTTACATATTATTTAAACGATCGCTGGTCSRATRAATAGGTATAATAATAATATGATTAACATAACGCTACCAATATTATTTTATGATAATTATATTTTTATTTATTCCATCGATTTTTATCACGTCGATTTCAATTGAATGTAATCGATATTATGTTAAATTATATTCTGTAAATTGTATTATTTTATGTATGATAATTATGTGTACACTTACGTATCTATAGTACCTACGTCTTTCTTGTTTTGTTTAATTTTTTGTACGTTTCATCCCTGTTACGAAGTGTTTTTAGTATTTTCAGTGTTCAAAAACTTTTCGTAATTGTCCACGAACAGCTTAAGCTCCTAAATCATTAATTTTTTAATCACAAAAACCTTTCTGATTTACAGCAATATTATTGTATAATAATATCTGAGTAGGGAATTTCATTCTAGTATGTTTATACTTATATGAAAAAAATTCGAATATATTCTTAGTATTGTTCGAATAAAAATGTAACGGAACTATTTTCAAATATCCAACCAAATTATTTTTAAAACGATTTTAAAAAAACCAATCAAAACATTTTTATTCGAGCAGGTAGTACATATTATTCGAATAAGTATTTTTACATAAAAATCATCCCGACTCTGATTAATATTATACATTGATTTGTGGAAATATTTTTATCACAAACCTCTTGTTTTTTTTTCAACGATTCGTCTATCAACGGGTCTGCGTAATTAGGATCGTTCAATGGATCTGTATTATGTATACTTGATGCACGTGTGCTAGATTCTAACGGCATCTGTAAATATAAAAATAATTTAAGGGCTGAAATAAATAAATCGACATAGATGAGTAACATATATTTGATAAACACTTAAATAATGAATCAAATAAACAAACTATATATGAAAAATATTTTTATTTATATTAAGAAATCACGTTTAAGATAAGTATACTTATTATTTATTAATTTATTGTATTATACATGATTATAGCTCTACCCCAATTATATTTATTACAAAGCGATAATTTTGTGTCAGTGTCAGATGGTTGACGTTTATTTATATGTATATATAATATATATATTACTAAATTTTAAATAAAACCACAACATTATTAAAATATTTGGAATAATATTGTTTATTGGTAAATCCTTTGGTCCTTTTTATAATGTGATCGATAAGTTTCCCAAACTAATATATTTTGATACTAAATATTTCAAAACAAAATGTAAATTAAGTACAAATATAACTATAAAATATTGAACATGTATAGTATCTTTAATTATAATATATTATTTTTTCGAGAAAGACAAAAGAAGTCCACGAAGTAAGCTCGATTTTTTTTTATAAGCATTTGAAGTTCAAATTTTGACGAAAGTAGATATTTATACGAATGACTAGAGTTTGAATTATTTATTGTTTTAACTCAGGATTTTAATCAGTAAGGACTTATTAGATTACGAGATGTCGAGGTACCACTCAACACCTACAGTAACTACAGCAAATTGGTTGCATAATTTTTCTGCTTTTTTACATTTTGATAGTTGTATGTAACTAATTTGTTATTTATTTAATCACAATATTACATTATATTTCTTATAATAAATCAACTTTATACGATAACAACTGTACTTACATCTTAACCTTCAATTTTAAAATCATCGGTATACCTTCCAGATTAGAATTATGCGTGCGTCACAATTTTATAACAGCTGTATAGGAATGCTATTTTTTTTTTATAAAACTTGTTGATTATACCATTTCAATAATGTATCATTTGAGCGCACGGACTGTAGCTTAAATTATTAATGTGGAAATCAAGAAACCAGTTAAACGCCTTTAATACCTTCACTTTTATTTTAATAGGAAAACTCTGCGTCTGCATTCAAACAATAACCTTCTGCAGTTGCACAGAACATTATAATATTTTCATAAACAATGTTTAACATTCTTATGGCAAAATACGCACAGCATAATCATAGGCGCACATAGGGGGGTGCTTGGGGGTGCTTAGCACTCCCAGGTTTAAAATTAGCACCGCATAAACTATTTAAAATATTTATTACATAGTCATATCTTTTGAAATATTATTATATAAATCTGTCTATGTATATCAGGATATTTTGAAAATATCAACAGTTAGTTTATCAGCAGAAATGATGGTTTTAATGAATAGTCTACCAGTCAGCTTTATATATGAATGCATGAAAAATCAATGTTATAAAAGTTCGTTTCCAAATGTCTGTAAGCTATTGGGAATAACAATTCCAATTTCTTCGTCAACGTGTGAACGCTCCTTCTCAGCTATGCATAGATTGAAAAACTGGTTACGCATCAATATGGGCCAAGAAAGATAGAAAGATTTACCAAGCTATCTACGCTTAGCATTGAGAGTGATCTTACCAATAAAATAGAAGGGGAAATTATATTGCAAACATTTGCAATATCAAACAGAAAATTAAATCTTGTCTAACATTAATAAWTWATGATTACATGTYATTATAACTTKTAATATAAYTACAAAATATTTATTTTTATTTTTAATAAAATTTATAATTATTGCAATGCAATTATTATAGTATTAGGCTGGTGTAGTGGGGGGCTTCGCTCCCCACGGGTCTGTGTGCTATAAATTATTTCAGCACCCCCTAAATTCACACCCTATGTGCGCCTATGAGCATAATGTGGATTTATGTAATATTGTAGAAAACAATTTACAATCAACTTATAGTTAGTAATATAACGGCCACTATTACCTCAACTTTCAACAAACTATTTACTCATCCATTTCATATTGTAATATTGTGTATAATGATTTTATAAATATATGAATATAATATCATAATATATATAAACTTATACATTGTTTTGATATATTATTATAAGTGATCTGAAAAAGTTAAAACAAACTTCAAAAATCAAAAAGTATAATAGGAATAAGAAAGTATTATTTTATTTTATTAAATTATAAAATCTTATGTTATATTGCTTTATGTTGTAAACACGATGCACATGGGCGGATAGGCCATTTTTGGCCTACCGGAAAATTTTAAAAAGGGGCCCCACATGAAAAAGAATTTAATAATATATATATATATATATATATATGATATTAAAGGGTCCCATTACCGGGGAAAACGCGAGTTGGGTCCCGAGATATTTGATCCGTTAAAAAAAACACGAGTTGGGTCCGCGGTAATTATTGTCAGTGCCGGTCGCACACGCCTTCCACTGGCACTGAATATATTGTATATTACATGGGTGGCCACTAACCTTAACTTTGGGAGCCGCAAATTTATAAAGTTAATTCGAGGTGAGCCACACATTGTAAAACAATATTTATAAATTAAAGATACATTTTTCATTTTAAAACAAATGAAGGAACATTTATTTATTTTTAATTTTAGTCTAAGTTTGGTTCAAGAGCCTCACGAAATTGATTTAAGAGCCGCATGCGGCTCGCGAGCCTCGTTGTGGATACCCCTGGTATATTATTTTAACAAGACGTATAACACGATGCAATCAATRATGGACGATGTCCATCTAATAATATATATATATGACCATAGACAAGATGCTTTCTTTTACTAGTGGAAAATTGAACCGGTTTAATTTTGTAAAAGATGTGTCGTTTAAATTTATTCCCTAGCATACAAATATTTATTACTAAATAATATATAATATTTTTTATTTTTTTAAATTAATCTAATTATTAATAATTTTTACATCCGACCGTTACCTTAACATAACAAAAAACAAAATTTTTGGGAGAAATTCTAGCCAACCTCCACGTGGTGTCTCCTGGGTAACACAAATAGGCTAGTCCCAACTCATGTACTCTATAAAATCAATGGTGAGCATTAACTTGTTAAAAAGTTAAAGTTCAGTTAAAAAGTTATTTTTTTAAACTTTTTAACTGAAACTAGTTATTTATTTTTGTTTTTAACTTATAAACTGATTCAGTTAATTGTGTATTGTTTTAACTGAAGCTTTTTATAGTTAATTATCATTATTGTATTGATGTGGCCTATAACTTTCTATAGAAAATAGTAATAATGTAGTATGTACACTATGTACCATAATAATAATTTTAAGTTTTATGTTTACATCAGTAAAGTTTAACTTGGTAAATGTTTATACAAACCAAAATACTCACTCATGCAATTTATGACTTATGAATATTATGACTTGGAAAATAAAATTAATACAATTTTTTACTGAGTTAAGTTTATTTTATTTTACATCTTAACTTTATTTTTATTAATTGTATTAAACTATTTTCATTAACTTGCCCACCTTTGCATAAAATATACCGGGACCCAACTCATGTGCCCCAAAAAATATACCGGGACCCAACTCATGTACCTCAAAAAATATACCGGGACCCAACTCGTGCTGTTTTTGAAATCTAGGACCCAACTCGAGTTTGTCCCATTACAGAATACGAAGGGGGGGCCCACTGGGAAATGCCCGGTTGCCCGGTAGGCCTATCCGCCCATGACGATGCACCTCCAATCTGCAGCAGAGAAAAACCACAGCAGACAAGATTTCATTTGGAAGGCATCTAAACCAGAAATCAACGTGTGAAAATAAGTTATTCAAAAATATATAACAACCCAGAATTTACTTAGTTTAATAGGTATCAGGCGTGAGTAATATGTATAGACGGCGAAATTTAATCGTTTTTTCTGTGTTAAAATGATTCTCTTTTGTATTCCCACAGTTATTTAACCCATTATAACATAAGACGAATTTATATAGTCATTAACCTGTTTAAAGTTAGAAGCAAATACGCTCTTGTACTTATGCATTGACCTAATACTTCCAGCTTCGTTGAGGTTGTCTATTTTATCAAAACAATCGGAACCTGCGGGCACTAAGAGTGGTTTATTTGAATCATAAACATGGTTCTTTCTGAAATAATAACAAAACGATAAACGTGTACGACAAAACTTGAAGGTAATGCAAGCTCACTTACGGATAAGGTGTTCCAAACCCGTAATGTGACATCATCTCTTTGGATATCTTCACAAGAACTGCGTCGTTTACACCATAGAAAATCAACGAGGCTCCGTAAGTGTGTGCCACGTATCGTAAACATTGGCATAGCACGCGTTTTTTAGCAGGTTCGAAATTCTATATATAACAAGATCAATTGTTCATTAAAACAATAATTAGCAAATAAAGCCGATTCATAATATTTAAATATATCTATTCGTTATGACCAACCTCACGAATGATAAACTACCTACATATATCTACGTTCATGCATAACTAATTTTTATTATTATCTAATACCGTAAATTTTAAAGTTAAATTAAAATGTGAATTATCAATTGCTCCATTTTAATCATTAGCTATATTGTTCGACAACCGATACCTTCATCTAACTTGGAACTTTGCAGTAACGAACAATTTACCCATTGCAGGCTAGTTACATTATTATTTTTATTTTAACTACACCGTATTATTTTATTTAAATACCTAAAATATCAAATAATGGAAGTAACACATTTCCTAACCTTCAACCATAAATTGGTGGATACGACCCCTTTCAGCCACATTAAAAACTTATAGGATAGCATTTTTGAATAATATTGAATGATAGTTGTTGATATTGAGCGCAGATAATTGATTAGACGAATACACAGACAAAAATACTAAAATTATTAAATTAAATAGAAAAATTTGTTTATGAGCAAAAAAATTACTCTCGAATACAAGGTTCCTCATAAGTCATAATAGTGCAACGTTTTCTTACCATAGTTAATGTATACTAAAAATATGGATACTTATTGTAACTTTTTTAATACTTATTAGTATTTATTATTAATACATTTCCCATCAGTATAATATATGACCTTAATTGACAAAACAATGTAGAAAATAATAATCTGTGTACCTAATACATATAGATATACATTATATGAACCATGAATTACGACTATGATTTCAGAAGACAGAAGTTGTAAGATACCTTGCAAAAATAAATTTGTCAAAAAAGGATATCAACAAATTTATAATTTAACGGAAAATTGAATTGATATAAAAGAGAAAGATATACTTTTGGCGGGAACTGGCTATACCCTTAAATAACAGTCATATTAATAAATACATATCAGCATATAGTGAAGTTAAGTTAAACAATTATCAATTCATAAATTATCAATTAGGCAATATTATTCATTACAGTTATTTTTTGACATTTAAAATTTCTTAAGTAATAATTTTACAACAATGTGGGCTTTTTTTTGTGTTTTGTGTGTGCGTATTTGAAGGGACTTTTTCTAGAAGAAAAATCCACCAATCATCAACTTCAATGGAGGTTTCTTGGTAGAAAATTAAATCAAGTTGTCAGCAGTTTGAAATTGAAAAATCAAAGTTCTATTTTAAATAGTGAGGAAACCCAAATTCTATTCCGAACAGTTGTTTCGATAATTATTTTCAAATTTCAACAAATCTTAAGTATTTTCTTAAGTATTGATAATTTTTATTTTTGACCACTCAAAAATACCAACTAGATTAAATTTATTTCCAAGAGCCTTCAAAGTTGACGATCAGAGTAGATTTTAGACTAGAAAAAATATCTTCAGGCCCGAAAATAATATCTTATAAATCACATATGACCGTAAAATCAATATATTCACTACGTTCAGAATCTAATACGAATATTTGTTGAAATTTTAATATAACCTATTAAAATAATTATTTATTAACGTTAGTATAAAATTTCAAAAAACAAAATTTTAATCGGTCAAAAAGCGACACAATTCAGTGCAATAATAACGGAACGCTAATTATTATATTATATTATTATTACTTGTGTTATTTTTTTCAACTAAAGTGTTACGCCGTTTATCACAAGATAGGTAACTTATTCAGCACCACGACAAGTTAATTTCACGTTACACAATGTATCATCTTGTGTAATAGATTATATATTATATTTTTTTAATTAATCACTTGTCGGTATTATAGCTATGAAATTATAATTTTATCAATTATAAAAATCGAGGTGGCTTCACCTTCTGAGGTACCGATCGTTATCAGCGTCCTCAGTTCCTCAGCAAATTATTTATTTGAAGCTTTCATTATTTACTATGCGCCGAATTTACGAATTTATCTGTTGTTTTATTGTACAGGTCGTAAATATCTTTATAAGCACATACAAAAAAAGGTACACCTTACAAAAAGTATTTATATACGTTTGATGAACAATAACAGATACCTATTAGTTATTATTGGTGTTTTGTATAAATTAAAAACATTAATTTATATTCATACACATACTTGAAATACGTCGTATTTACTTCCAACGATCATTAGTGGTATGGGCAGTGGAGACATAAGCTTTTTATCCTAAAATGAACACAAAAACTTCTGTTACAGTATACTTTTGCGCGAAACGTCAACGTAGATTACGCAAGAGTAATACATTTACGTATTTTATAAATCAAACAAACCTCAACATTTTTAACATTAATCTGATTATACTCTTCAATCTCTGGTACATTTTCCAAATGTGTCTTTATTTCTTCTAATATCATTTCCATGGTATTCCAAAGAATATCCGGCTTTGARAGATCCAATACTAACACAACGCTCAAACGTCGGCCTCTCGTTTTTTGTACTATCACGGATAATAGATCTTTGAAAACTAAGCCACCACCCAATTCCCAAACGTGACAAATATCCTTTGTCTGAAACATAAAAAAAAATTGTTATATTCTAATTAGAAATTTACTTTTTCAGTTTTCCGCAGTCTATAAGAATTTTCTTGTTGTTCACGGAATTAAAATATAATGATAAGCTAAAACGATTTTACTACATAGTCATCAATAACTTGCCCGGCTGCATCTAACCACACAGTAAATAAGATAAATAATTTCAACAATTTGATATATTGTCGGAGCGGTTTTCACGGAGAACAGTTGGGTGCCTTAAATAGGCGTAGATTTAAAATGTAATTGAAACGGACATAGCTCATTTCCGACAAAAGTAAAAACGCGAACCGCCGCGCTGTTTGGCTTCTACTAATATAGATAGTACTTGTAATTTTTATTAAATTTTTGCTATAGAATTTTAAAGTTCGCTCTAAAGTAATTGTCAATAATTTGATAAGTGATGTCAGAATATGAGAACTGCGCGTGGGCGTGGCTATAGGATGAGAGCCTGAAGTGGAACTTTTTTTATTCCAACAGTTTTTTTTTTTGTATCAAAAGTGTAAATTATAAAATGCAATCTGGACTCTCGTCTCTGGTTATCTTTATGGATTTATTCATTAATCATTAATTTTGTTAAATATATACAGGTACTGTAGATCTAAGGTTAAACCTTCCTTTATCATAATAGTATATTATTATTATATGAATCATTTCGAATGACTAACTAACAACTGGACACTGGACCGATGTATATTTAACCTCTATTTTTTTTTTTTTTTT